TAGGACGGGGAATATGGGTACAGGATAGGCAACCAGCAGTGCCTGCTCTGCAAGGAGAGGTGTTCTCAGAGTGAGCAGTTAAGTACACTAGACCACAAGGTCGGGCTTTGAGAGGAACCAGGCATGTCGAGGAGACTTAAGATGCCCTTGGAAAGGGGGAATCCAAAGCATAGGGGAGCTGAGGATGGTGGGGGATCAGCGGGATTGCCTGGAAGCTGTGGATGTGTCAAGGGCTTCTCTGCTTTTGGGGGAGAGGCAGGTGTAGAAGGTAAGGAAAGAGGGTCTGGATATGAGGGGATTTAAAGCATGCACAGAAATGAACAAAATGGGTCTCAGTTCTTACATTTAAGTATCAAATTCCTAGGAAAGTCTCCATAGCCTTGGGTTAGGCAATAGTCTTAGACTTGACACCAAGATCACAAGGGACAAAAGAAAATGCAAATTGGACTTAATCAAAATGATTGTTTTCTTACCTCAAAAGACGTCAGACATTCTGAAGCTGAAATTTTCACTTTAAGTCATATCTGATAAGGGACTTACATCTAGAATAGAATTTTTGCAATTTAATAATAAACCAATTAAAGCAACAAAGGATTTGAATGACATTTCTCCAAGTAAAAATACAAGTGGCCAACAAGCAAAGATGGTTGATATTGCAAGTCCTTAGGGAAAGATGGATCAAAACCATGAGATGTCACTTCACACCTGCTACCATCAAAATGACAGTAATGTATTGACACTGGACCCCTTATGCATTACTGGTGGGAACATAGCACAGCTGCTTTGGAAGAATCGGTGTGACAGTTTCTTAAAATGTTAAACTACATAGCCCTACAATTTTATCTCTAGACATAGGCAAATGTTTTTATCTCTTTGGTCTGGGTAAAATTTGTTTTTTGGTACTAGGGATTACACCAGTGGTACGTACTTAACCATCGAGCCACATCCTTGGACCCTCTTTAGTATTAGAGAGGGCCTTGCTGAGTTGCTTAGGCCTTGCTAAACTGCTGAGGCTGACTTTGAACTTGACATCCTATGCCTCGGGGATTGCAAGTGTGTGCCACAGTGCCTGGTTTACCTAGGTAAGAATTTGTACTATTAGTTATATTAACTCAAAGTGGAAACAACTCGTCCTTCAACAAATTTGTCAAGAACATTGTCTTGATAAGAGACAAATCCTTGATAAGGATTTAACAAGAACATTGTGCTGCACCTACCGCATGCCAGCTAGCCAAGTGCCACATGCATATCCAATAGAATATTATTTGACAATAAGAAGTGAAGTATGAATACATGTCATGGGATGGATGAGGCTTGAAAACAGACCAAGCAGAAGAAACCGGACACACAATGATGCTGTGTAATTTGTATGAAATGTCCGGAAAAGGCAAGTGTATAGAGACGAGGTAAACTAGCGTCTGGCTGGGGCTGGGTGTGGCACTAGGCAATGATGGCAGATGGGCATGAAGTTTTTTTGGGCAGTGAAAAAAGATTTTTGCTGATTACTGATACATTAATAGTTGTACAGCCATCAATTTTATAGTCCCTAATTATACCTCATTAAAGGCTACAAAGATGTCAAGGAATGCTCATGGATGAGACTCTGGCTGAGCTTGTGACAGATGGGGCTGGGTATGGTAAGAAGTTCCAGCTTTTGGGATGGTGGAGGAGAGAATAGTGAAAAGACGGTGGAACTGGCCTCTAAGAAGGCACCCAGGAATCGGAGCTTTGGTTCCCTCTGGAGACATGCCGGGGCTTCATGCTTAGGTCACAGGATGTATACTGCAGGGCACTTCCCAGTGAATCTTGTGTATCTTGGGACTCTTTGCTCCTTGCAATTAGAGCAGGTAGCTCCTTCCTTGGAGACCTGTCGCCCAATGCTACACAGAAGGGACAAGCTTCAGTAGGGTCCCTTGAAAATCCTCATGTTAATTCCCTGGAATTTTAATTGAGCAGGAAAGAAGCAATAACAGGTCATTGCTGTGGATTCTTGAATGGGTGATTAAAAAAAAAGAGAAGGGAAAGATGGGGGAAGTGGAAGAAACGAGAAAAGGCAGACTTACATGAAGAAGTAGATAGCCAAACAGGACAGGAATGGAACAAGGGAGGTGGAGGTGGCTGGGAAACTGCCATCCTGTACCCTTATCAAGAACATTGTTTAGCACCTACCGAATGCCAGGCGTTTTCCTAGCACACTGCTTGCATGAACCAATCTAGTTCTCTCACCCTGCAGAGAAACTAGGGATTATTATCCCATTTTACAGACTTGGCTTAAGTAACTTTCAAAGATAACACAGCTGGCTTGAGTCTGGTGTTGTCTTAACCCCCACGTCCCCCGGTCTAATGGGAGAGACTGGATTATTCTGGGAGGTCAGTATAATGGAAGCTGGCTCTTAGACATTGAGCTTCTAAGTAAATTAATCTCAGTCCTTTTACTAGCTGATGATTGGTTGAAATCCCCCTTCATCTCTTTATCTCCAGGCCAGGGGTGTTGACTGAGTCTTCCAGCTCTGGAAGCTGTTAAGAAATTTCTATGGACAACTGATAAGGGACCCTGGTCTTGCAGGATAGTTAACCATGAAATTCTACCCTTAAAAGATTGGTTTCTTATGAGATTGGAGGAATATTTGGGGTCATTAGTACCATTGTTAGTACCAAAATGATCAAGCCTTTGACTCTACATTGCTCAATATAAACCCCTGCTCTTATCCCAAGGCCTTTGGTTTTCCTGCAAAAATCCCTCCTTGAGAGGGTTGGAATGGAAACACAGGCTTCTGGGAGCCTTAAATGGTTAAATCAGCCTTTTGCTCCCCCAAGGCCATAGGCATAAGAGAAGTTCATGTTTTCCGAGAATCCAGGAAGTGATGGGAAATTTAGTGGTAGTGCCATCACATCCCTTGTGCACAGGCCTTGACAGGCATTCTCCTTGAGTTGCACATCTGTTTTAGATAATTCCATTGTCACTGGGTTGGTGTTGGCCTTGGGTGTGGCCTCAGGTTGAGGATGGCCACTGGTTCGGAAGAGCAGCTAGACTTGAGCTAGAGCCGTTTCCCTGCATTGGCCACGCTGATAACTTCTCTGAGAGGATTCCAGTCCTGTTAGGTCACACTGAGCTGCTTTCAGGGTTCTGGTACTCCGTATATTCTCCCCACCCCCCACACTGCTACTGAAGGGTGACTGGGAAGATGTGGTAGTTATAAAAGGGCTCTGGCACACCCATCTCCGGGAGATAAGGGTCATTGAAGTGCTTACCCTAGTGTCCATTGACAGCTTCTCCAATTTTATTTCTGCAACGTGGAAGCTCCAGGAAGGCGGGTACCAAAGTTTGTATTGGGGGTCCCTGGAGAAATACCAATAAGCTGTCTATCCATATATCCCAAGAAATTTTAGGGAATGGGCTTATGTAATTGTGGGGCCTGACCTGTGGGTAGGCCAGAAAGCTTGCAGGTAAGAACTGCCGTTGCTGTCTGAACCCTCTTGTGAATCCTCCAGAACTTGGGGGTATTCAGAGATGTTATCTTTGGCCAATTCATGATCTGTCAAAGATCACATGATGCTTACTATTGAATTACAACTGCTGATGTGGGTTACAGAAATTCCTTGGGATTGGAAGCCATCAGGGCTTTATTCTTGGCCAGGTAAGACAAACACATCTGCTGGGCCTGCCCCACCTCAGAACATCATCTTGGCAGTCAAACAAAAGGAAGTCCAATAATTTAGTTCAAAACACCTAATGGAATTTTTTGTCATAGGATGACAAGAGTTGGAAGAAAGTTGGTGTCAGAATTTTTCTTTTTTTTTGGAGGAATAAAATTTTGCAGAAATATGTTCATGGAAATCTCCAACTGGACTTCTATAGATGGGCCAGGAGTTGAGTATTTAAGCTTTTTAAAACTAATGCCCAGCATGGAGGAGGTGTAAACCAAACACGAAAACGGACAGGGTATACTGCAACTCGAAGGCAGCCCGAGATTCTCCACCCCTTGAGCAGTTGCCGGGCTGGAGGCTAGCGTGTGTTTCTAGGACTATAAAACTGGTTTTTCTAAAGAATCAGCCTGTCTTAATTATCTGATCTCCAGAGTAAAAATAACCAATGCATTCACTACTGTGGATAATTCATAACTATATTAACAGTGTGCCTTGGCGAGTTCTAGGTCCTCTTCTCACAGCCACAGCACCAGGAAGTAGGAAGCCATGCCCAGGCTTTCCCTGTGGGAGAGATGAGGCTGAGACAGAATTCAGCCACTAAGTGCTGCTGACACGGTCACAATGTGGCTCTGTTTAACCTATGCCTCTTGCCCACGTGTCTAGGCTCAGGATCCCTGTTCAGCCCCAGGTAGCAAGGACTCGGGTTCTCTTCTTCCATATCCTACCTGCTGCTCTGTACTTCATAAGGCCAGGTACTATGGAGGGTAGGCCCTGGTAGGAGTGGAATTGGGGAGGACCCTTCTCACTGAGAACCAGAGAGACAGAAACTGGTGCTAGTGGGGGTGGTGTCATTTGGCCTAGATGATCATGAAGGGCCTGTAAATGCTCTTCAGTGGATTCTCGCCCTGTAAGGGGACAGAAAAAAGCCAACTGAATTTATACCTGGCGGAACAGCTCCGATTGCCCTGTGATTTGTTTCCTTTTCCTGTAACTATATAAAAAAAAATAGCTATGGGAATGATCAGACTATTACATTCCAGGAATTTCACTTCACAGGCCCAGATTTTAAAAAATTTCCCAGCATGGTCAAACATGACTATGTGCAAACTCTGTGGATGGAATGAGATGATAGGACTTGACAACAAAACACATGTGCCAATCCAACAAAGTTGGTCTGTTTTGCTTCCTTGAAGCCCTGTAATGTTGCATTATTTCAGGGTAGAATCTGGTTCAGTTTGGGACCCTGCTTATTGGAAATCTTTCAGGTGGCTGTATCGGAACCTTCAAGCTCATCAACAGCACTGGGTAAATTTGTTGACTCTCACCCTATGTTTTGTCATTGTTTCCCTTAGGAGGGGCAAGAAACACAGCATCATCTTGAGGACGCAGCTGTCTGTGAGGGTCCATGCCTGCATCGGTGAGTGACATCTACAGCCGGGCATGTTTGCTGTTCATACTCAGAGATCAAACATGGGCTGAGAAACATCACTGTTACTGAGTCATGTCATATGCTTAGTCCATACCTATTGTGGGCTCTTGTAGTTTTAGTGGAGCATTTTGAGCAATGATTTCGAGTCCTGTTTCATCTTGGCTGCTTTTGCTTTTCAGATGTGACTGGAGCTTGAATTTCAGATTACTAGTGAGGTTCTTGTAGTGCTGGGAGAGAAGAGGTTCTTCCTGGGCTCTTACAGTGTGAGCTTCAGGTGCTTCTTGGTGGATCTGGGAAGCCCACTTGTGGGGAAGCAGATCTGATGTTCTAGACTTGGCCAGATGATTGGAAAAGAAATCTTGGGTCAGTGAAGACACGTGGATATAGAGCAAAATGGTATTACTTGGATGAATATACTTGAGGTTCAGAATGGCTTGCCCGAGGTCAATTGGACACTGCATGGGCCATTCCTGCAGCCACTGGTTTTGCTGAAACCTTGGTTTCCCCACCTGGAGACACTGATTCAATGGTGGAAATCGGATTTTTTGGCTAAAATGGACAACCTCATGTAAATGGTCTATAACATTGTGGCCTGTTTCCTCCTGGCGTTGGGTCAAGTTGCAACAAGAACATAATCTTCTAAGAAAAGGAACTAAAATTCACTTTGTGTGGAAGTACTTTATATCTGTAATTTTGCTTTTAATATATGCAGTGGTCTTCATTCAGGTCTCTAATTAGAAAATAATTTTTGTTGAGTCCCAGTCTGCACCTGGAATGTGGTTTCATGGGTGGAGTGAAAGGAATGGTTTCTGGTGGTTTTTCCTTTTTGCTTTCTTGGAGAGCAGGGATGAATGGGGGAGCTAGAGATGGAGAGGAATCTGTCATTTTACTTCACTTGCAGTGAAGTTGTGAGGTTGCAAGTAAGAATGAGGCTCTGAATGTAATGACTGAGTGACTATGCAGGTGACTTCAGATGGGAAGGTCAGGATGTTGGGAGGATCTAAATGTTTTGGGAAATAACTCTAGGACCTGCATGCAACCTTGGCTGTTCTACTTTATAACTGCTGGTAGCACTGAGTGACTAAAACATACATGGGCCTTGAATTTTATCTAATAACTTGCTTTTTAATTACCTGTCCATAATTTCTCAGTTATATGTATCAATCATTTCTCCCTAAAGAAAATGCTTGTAACTCATCACTTTGGATAAACTTTCCCCTACTCAAAGTTTCAATCTAGGATAAAGCCAGGCACATCATATATGCTGAGCACAACTAAAGGTCAACAATTACACATAGCTGACAGCCTCTAGACACTTGGGACATAAGTATACACTGGCATTTCCTAGGGATAGGAAAACGGACTGTACAATAAAGGGTTCAATCAAACTCTGAACAGACTTTCTAAAACTATTCTTTTGCAGTATATATGTAAATTATATCAAGTACAGGAGTTTCTCCAACTTCCATGTTGAGACTCTGCATTAACTTCTGTATTCTGGGTCCTGTGTGATGGATGAAAAATGGCCATCCTATCCCATGGCGTGCTCAGCACAGTAGCCAGCTGAGCCAACCCTTGACTGGGACACTCCTGCCTTCCTGCTGCAGGGGCTCAACTGGTTGCTGAGAGTGTGTGCACTTAAACCTCCTTATGTCAATTGTACCTACCATTGGAATTACATAACTTAATGATCCCTAAGTATTTTATAAATGGAAGATATGAATATACGAGTTACTGCTTTGAAAATTCCTTGGATATTCTGTGGGAAATAGGTCATTACAAAAGCATTTGTTAATATAAGTGGGTTATAACAATTCTGAGAGGTGGAGAATGTGAGAAACCTACAACTCCTTTCTGGGTGCTGGGGATTGAACTCGGGACACCCGAGCAACGAGCCACATTCCCCAGCTCCACTTGGTACTTTGTTTGGAGACAAAGTCTCACTGAATTGCTTAGCACCTTGCTTTTGCTGATGCTGCCTTTGAATTCACAATCTTCCTGCCTCAGCCTCCCGAGCTGCTGGGATTGCAGGCCTGTGCCACTGTGCCTGGCTGGAAGATTCTATTGTCAACTGTCTTTGGTTCTTGCTTGAACTGGAGGTGGGGTGGGAAACGGATGGGAAGTTGTAGACCATGTTTTTAGCATGGTTCATGAAAGAAGATCCTCGTGGAAGTCCAGTGAGTAGCTTCTTAAAGAACCAGTTTGGCCTCTTCATAGGTAAATTGTGGCATGTGGTCCCTGTAGGTACAAGTTTTCAAAGTGTATGCATTATTTTTTAAAGCATTTTCTGCTTTAATCAGCTTTTACCATTAGTTACCTCAGGCATCAGTATGCCAGATGAGAGGGTTTGAATGTAAAATGAACACTAATACCCAAGAAAGCAGTTTTTTTCTTAGCATTAAAACACTTATTTCATTTTCTGTTGGTAATATCTGGATTTATTACAGCACTCAACAATATCCTTTGGCTATGTATAGAAAATGGAATGTATGTGTCATGTTTATGAAGCACCTCCTCCATTGTGACATTCTCTGCCTTTCCAAGGGGCAACATAGGATTTCTTTGAGGTTTTGTTTGGCTTCCAGTTGAAATTACAAAGGAAATGGCAACGGGTGGGGGTGGGAGGGAACCCATTGGCTGAGTCCTCCTTTCCTCTACAGATTATATCCCTTCTTAACCCTGTGAGATGAATTACTCTAGACACTGGACATAGCAGCTGCTGCTGTTAGACTAACATCACATCCAATACCGCAAAGACCCTCTTTTTCTAGAAGGATCCAGTGTCATGACACAACTAAACCAGCCAGGGTCACTCCAAGTAAACTTGGACTAAATAAAAAGACAGAAAGTAACTTTTATTTGGGTTCAGTGACCACTCCTCAGCCACAGCTCCCACAAGCGGGGCAAGGCAGGCAAGAAAGCACCCCTCGAACCCAGGTTTTATTGGTGAGAAGCCATTCAAATGCGGCAAGGGGTTAGGTTTTGGGGGGTTGAGTCTCGCTTTGTGATGTCTTGCTGTCAGCAGATTGACATGGTGGAAGATCACACCTGCCTCATGTGCTGTAATCAAAGGCAGAGCACATGAAAGGGACACATACGTGCACAGCCCCGACATGGCGGCAGCATCGGTCCAGTCAACTCTGCAGTGAGCTCAAAATGCTCATAACTCTCACATCCCGTGGCTGGCTTGCCACAACCCAGGATCAGCTTTTGTCTTATGGGTCTAAAATACTACTAAATAAATGTCTCCAAGTCCTGTCTTCCTCATCCTACCTTCTCTTCCCCTTCATTCCTGCTTTTATTAAGTATAGGAATGTTCAGAATCCAGGATGGTGTTGGCAAACTGGAGGTGACATGTCTTTGGCATTCTCCATTAACTCTGGAGCCCCGTGGGATGAGAGTGGAGCTTCATACTTAGCAACCAGCAAGCCTCACTAAAAATGAAGGCTACAGAGGTTCTGCTTGGACAGTCACAGCCAGCATCTGAGATGGGTCTCTTCTATAGTGCTGTGATTCTGATGGATTTGTCAGGAGATTACAATGAGATTCTGGTTTAGGCCTTGATCCTTCATGCTCCTCTAATTTTTCTTTGTACATTTTTAGCATGAACACTTGACGTAACACTGCAAAGAATGCATAACTTGCCTTTTATTTTTGGTGGTAGGGACTAAACCCAGGGCCTTGTGCATGCAAGACAAGCAATCTACCAACTGAACTATATCAACTTGCCTTCTTAATACAGCTTCAGTCCCTCTAAGTATGAGTAGCCCTATCGTGGGCATTGAACTTATGCCTAGCAGATTTTTTACTTAGATATGAGAAATCTGCACTTTATGAGGTTGATAGGGATCAAAAAGTTCATTTTTCTCAGGGATCCTATTTAGATACCAGAAAACATTCTGATGGCTACGTCTTTTCATGCAGAGAAAAGGAGCTCAAGAATTGTGGGTGAAAGAATGGAATCAAGGATATAAAACATGAAATTGTTTAGGATCTAAAGTTTGTTTTCTGCTGGTAGACAATTTTGCATTTCTGTTTGGCTGAAAATCTCTTGTGCTTCACTTCTCTGAAGTCCTTCTATTAAGGAAGTAAATCCTGTCAATTGATTCTGAGACCCAGAAAGCCTATGCTTATGCCTACCAAAAGAGTAAAAGGGTAGAATTGGCTGAAGATTCCAAAGTGTCACTTATATTTGAAGCTGAAAAAGATCAGCTTGGCACGCGGTCTTCGGAGGCATTTCTCCACAGCCTAGGTGACAGGTCTGCCCATGGAGATGGGGTGTGAAGAAGCTGGCAAGGTGGCTGCGAAGTACCTAATCTCTGCATGAGATTAGCTTCCTTGCTCAAAGGATCAAGTTACAGAGACAAAGACGATTTTAAAGGAAGAAAATGTGAGAAAAGACTGCTTTGTCCATTGATGCAGTAAAGCAGTTGATTTCCAGCAACGGAAACATAGAGCGAACAAGGCATCGATACAGAATTTGCAAAGCATTTTCTTGTAAGCCAAGTCACACAGCTGTCTATGCTCTGCATTTTGGTATGGCTACAACAAAGAGGTGAATTGCAAATAGTGGAGCATTTCTTCAAAAGCGGCCTTCTAGTGTGAATGAGGGGGTTCATTTCACATGCCAGCCAACTTTGGGAAGTGGCCATCTGGGGCACAGTGTGGAGGATCCTGAAGCCTTAATGGGAAAGGATCCTGTGATGGCATCGGCTTGTATTGGTGAAGGTGGCCTGTGTGTTTTTGTGGGGTGGAGCCAGGTGAGGTATGAGTCATGTCTATCTGAACCTTGCAGTGACTTGAGTGTGGGCAGTAGAGCTGTGACCATGGCTCCCACCACCCTCCCTGCTCTGCTCTCGCATCCCTTTCTCGGGCTTGGCCTTTCCTAAGCTTATAGCTCTGTGTGGTTCACCCATCCTTTGCCTCTTCCTGTGCTTTCTGACCAGGCTGGGTACCACTCCGCTTACCTCTGAGCATCTTTCCCTCTG